ACCAGTGGTCTGTACTGGCTCTGGTGAGGTTATAGACATACACAATTTCATTTAGGCCTCAGCTAAGAGAGGTAACCTACCCCACTTCACAGACAGGAATCCACGGCTCAGAAAGATGTGTGATATGACTTCTTTGGCAGAGTCCATTGAAGCTGCCCTCCACTGTACAGGGTCAGTTCCTGGGATGGGAGGACTCCCTGGAAACACATCTGTTATCAGTTTTATTTAAAGGGCCCTTGAGTTTCAAAGCAGCTGGCAAGACACACTCCCGTGATCACTAATTCATATTTGTCCTACCTCTCAGGCCCCGGCCTCGAAGGCCCACCATGAATCAGGGCCCCAGGTTCATGGCTGAGCAGGTCTGCATAATTTCCTGAATGTCACCAAACCCATCTGTCATCCCCTCAGCTTCCCAAATGCCATCCCTGGAGTACTCAGGAGGCACTGAGCCATATGGCCAGGGAGCCCCACTGTGAAATCCCGTTACTGCTTTCAGCTAATTAGCTTTAAAGCAAGCAAAGTAATTAGGAAGGGGCTGTGGGAAGCACACCACAGGAAGGGCTCTGAACTTCCTGTTTCCTCCCCACTGAGACCTCATGTCTACAAACACCTCCCTTCTCACCCAGGGCCTCCCTGTGCGGAGACAGAGGGATACTCAGAGAAACATCTCCACTCCCACATGCAGATAACAGTTACAGGATTTTGTTCTGACATACTCACTTTTTTTCTCTGCTTCTGTCCTCTCTTTTGTCCCCCAGGCAGGGGCAGCTCACCTCACTGATACGGATGGGGTGGAATATGACAAAGGAGAGGGAGGGAGTTAGGAGCAGGGTGGACCCCTCGCCATAGGCCCAGTGTTTCCTCCCTTGGCCAGCAGCAGTATAGTATATCAAAAACGACCCTAAGCTCCCCCCAGAACAGAAATGATGGATGAAAATAAAGCTGAGAAGAGGGTAAAGGTATCTCTCTCTACTCTACAGCTCCTGAGGTGGTGTTAGACCACAGACTGAAGGTCCAGCTAACTGTCCAGGGAAAAAAGATTTTGTTCCAGAAATGCAAAGGCTTCATTTGAGATCAAAGGTGGGGGCTGGGGAGATGACTTGGTAGGTAAGGATGCTTGTTGAGCAAGCAAGAGGACCTGAAGTCAAACTCTGGGGCCCAGTGCTGTAAACCCAGCACTGGAGTCGGGGGAGCAGACACAGACTGCTGGGGCCTGCCGGTTAGCCAGTCTAGCTTCAGGTTTGATAAGACGTACTGTCTGAAGGAATAAGGCAAAGACCAATAAAGCAGGACATCCAGTGTCCTCCCACTTTTAAGAGTGCGTGGGCATGCACACATGTGCTCTCTCTGTCTCTCTCTGTCTCTGTCTCTGTCTCTGTCTCTCTCTCTCTCTCTCTCTCTCTCTCTCTCACACACACACACACACACACACACAAACACACAAAGTGTGGCCATATCAGCTGTGCACCCAAGTTCTGGGTTTGCATTTCAAGACCCCAGTGAACCTAGTGCAGGGCCACCATTTTGTATCTACTCTCTGGCCTCCCAGCAGCCAACAGAGGAAGACATGGAAGACATTACTGACTCATTTCAGAGGTGGCCAGAGATGAGGTCATAATGAGGTCATTGAGAAAAGAAATAGGCACATTGACTCTGAGACTGAGCTGGGATTAGGCCAAGGACCCCCATCTTCCCAGAAGGCCACATTGGCAGAGCCAGAGCTGCCTGCAATGGACACAGGCACAGAGCCTCCAGTGTTGCCGGAGTAATGGGAGTACTGTAACAGTGGTGCGAGAGAGACCTTGGTGACTGGCAGAACAAACATGCCAGGCAGACACAGACAGAGGTGACTTGGAAAGTTGTATTTGGGGACCGGAGTGGGAAAGGGAAGGGAGAGAAGGGAGAAAGAAAGACAGACAGAGACAGAGAGACAGAGAGACAGTGACCTGCCTCCTCAGAGAAAGAGAGAGTAGAAGTGGGCAGAGTTTGTCCCTTAAAGGGACCTTTGCAACTGCATACAGAGGCAGGGTACTGCTCACCATGAGCAGAGGTGGCACACTTTGCCAGGTCCCCAAGGGGCGGGACCAGGCTTGCCTGGATTACAACATTCCTCCCTTCTTTTTTTATTAAAAAGGTGAGGAGTTAGGCATGGCAGGTTAGGGAATGAGGGTGTTGAGTTCTGAAGACTGCTTCCTGACTATCTTTAGGGGACCTGAGAAAGTTGGGGTATTGCCATGTCCTGGGGTAGCAGGTGGTTTCATTGTGGCCCAGACTCTAAGGAACTCTCTGGCACCTCTTAGACCTGGCAAGATGTTGGCAGAGCAGAGGACAAAGTTAAGTTTAGGGAATTTTTTTCCCTTAGGTCCTGGTGATTGAAAGGGAGGGTGTCAGGACCAGGGAAAGGTGAGGAGGCTTGAGCGGCTCGGGGCCTGGTAATTGAGGGGGGGATGCATCTGACCTGTTTGAGATGAATCCTCCAATTTGACTCCCAGGAACTTACAAGAATTCTTCCGGTTTGTGAAAAGACACATTAGCACCATGGAAGAACTTTTTATACTAAGGACACCTATCCTACTGGTCCTGATAGCCTATCGCTAGCTAGAATCCCATGACGCCACAGAGGGCCAGTGTGCACGAGGGCAGGCAGAGGTGGCATTCCACCTGTTCTCCAGCAGGTGTGCAGGAACCTGGGGCAAAGTGCCGAGGTCCAGGCAGTAGGGGCCTAGCGATAAGGGACAGGAAGGAGGGAGCTGCCTCAGTGGGCAGGGCAGGACCCCATCCGATTTGTCCTTGGCATGGGGTATCTATTCAGGAGACCCTGGACTAGGGAGACTGAGCTCTGGAGGTGACTTGTAAGGTGCCTCCCACTGCAGGCAGGCTTTTAAAATGGTTCACATAACCTGCAAAACAGGAAACATAGTATTTAGCTAAATGGACAGTGATAAAACCTACCAAAAATGTTTCTCTATAATTCAGGTGGAGCCAAGCCAACACACTACCAGAAAAAATAACCAGCCCAAGAGCAAGGGATCTGAGCTGGATCAGAATTTCCCAGTGTCGGTTTCCTGGGGCTCTACAGAGGAGGGGGCTGATGTCATACATCATGCAATCCAACATCCCTCACATCTCCTGGAAGTACTGCTGTCCCCAAGCCTCATCCTTCCAGAAGTATCCAAATCTTTCTCTCTCTTCATTATTTTCACCCAAACTCAACACCCTGCCCAGCCCTGTCTTCTCGTGCTTGCCCTGCCCACCCCTGTGAGCACATCAGCAGAGCACACTCTCTCAGGCCAACCCGTGTCCTCCCCGCTACCCTTCAGTTCCCCTCAAATGGACCGGTTTGGCCTCTCTCAGCTTCTTCTCTGCCCCCTTTCACCACACAACAGTACCTAGGAGGCCAAGAACTGCAAGCAAGGGACCCTCCTTTTGCTGAAGGAGGAGGGGCGGTGACACATATTTGTTTGTGATTTTCTTTTTTTTCCACACTTGTTTACACAAGTAGTGAAAAGTTTCCACACCCCGATAAGTCTCTCCACCGATGTAGCAATCCAAATCAGACCAAATCAAACTGAATTACAAAAAGCCCACATTTAATGGATATAACACTCCTGGATAGCTTTCCAGCCCCCAGAGAGGACATGGGAAAGAGAGACTGGAAAACCACAGAGTCTGTTTTCTTTTTTTTTTTTCTTTTTTTTTTTTTCTTTTTCTTTTTCTTTTTTTTTTTTTTTTGGTTTTTCGAGACAGGGTTTCTCTGTAGCTTTGGAGGCTGTCCTGGCACTCACTTTGTAGACCAGGCTGGCCTCGAACTCACAGAGATCTGCCTCCTGAGTGCTGGGATTAAAGGCGTGCGCCACCAACGCCCGGCCAGAGTCTGTTTTCTGGGGGAAAGTTTAAATACCTTGTGGGAGTGGTCTTGAGCATCTCTGGGGAAGGGGTCATTATTTGGCTGGCTTTCTGAGATGCAGCAGGGTTTGGAGGGATATAGGGGAAGGGGGCTTGGGTGGAACTTCCACCACAACATTCCAGACTCTTTGGGTCTATGGATGCCAGGGGCTGGGGTGAAGCTTCCACCATAGCAGGCAGTACAGAGCTCCTGTGCTAGAAACAGGACAGAGCCCAGTGCCCATGAGCCTAGGCAAGGGGAGCCCAATTGGCTCTGCAATTGATCTGAAAGACTAAACCCCTGGTGAGCACCTGTGTCCCACCCTTCGGTCACCCCTGCCTCGTCCTCTGCATCCCTCCATTGCACAGGCCACCCTGCCCTCAGCTGCCTAGGGAAGCTAGGACTTGAGGCCTTCAGGAGTCTCTCTCATGAGCAGGTCTGCTCCATCTGGCTCAGAGAGACAAGCCAGTAAGCTAACATGGACAGGGCGGGGCTGGCCCTCAGCAGTTCCAGAACCTTACCTTACCTAGCTCCAGGCACCTGGCCCTTGGCCAGTGCACTCACTCCTACTACAGCACAGGGGTCAGGAGGAGGGCTGAGGGTCGTCCATGCAGCCCACATCTGCTTTAAGATGGGGGTGTTGAAGCCCCAAGAGAATCAGACACCTTCATGATAGCTCACAGCTTTGACAGGAGCTCCTGAAAGCCAGGCCTCCTAGGTCTAGGCTGGTGTCTTCTACATGACACAGGGATGAAATCATTCCTAAACTAGTGGAGGGCAGATGGTCTGTGTTGTGGAAATGAATGAAATTGAAAATGCAAATTCTGGATCCTCTATGGTTATTTGCATTTTAAATGAAACACAAACATCAGAACATCTTTCTGTCTCGGGCAAAGCCATAGAGACACTGCCTTGGGGAGGGGACTGGGAGTGACACTACACGGGTTTGGATTTCTTTTGAAATAGTGAGAAGGTTCTGGAGCTAGATGGGGTGATGGCTGCCCAGCGTGGAACATCAGTGGAGTCTACACTGACATGAGTAAACTAGCAAGCTTTGTGTGTATTTTTTTTTTAACTTTTTAGGGTTTTCAATAGTCAAATGCAGGGGTCTGGTTCATTTCAGCTCCTCTACTGCCAAACCAGGGGGCAGGGACTGTTTCAACTTCTCAGCCTTCTCTTTGTCTGTGATGACAAAGGTGTAAAGGTACCTGCATTCAGCCTTGAACTTGATATTATCCTTGTTCTTCTTGATCTTGACAGACTTGGCATCCTTCTGCTGGGATGTGAGCAGAAAGTCCTTGATCACCTCGATTTTCCGAGGCATGGTGATGGGCGCTCAGCGCTGGAGACCACACAGCAGCAAGAAAGGAAGGGAAAAAGAATTGTATTTTACCACAATTAAAAAACGTTGTTGAGCCAAGCTTAATGGTGCATACCTGTAATCCCCTGCACTTGAGAGGCCGAGGCAAGAGGATCCTGAGTCTGAGGTCAGCTGTGGCTACATGGTAAATCCCCAAATGTTCTAGGCCATCCAGTGAGATCCCACTTCACAAACCAACCAGCTGATCATCAAACAAACCCTGCCTGACTTAAACACCCCCACTCCAAGTGAGAGGAAAGGTCAATTTGCTATGTCTTGTTCTTCCTTTCCTTCCTGTCCTCACCAGACCTAGCCTGGAGCTCCAGGTCTAAGGAAGGAACCCTACCACTACACAGGACAAGTACTAAACCAGCCATTCGGGAGTAATGTGCTAAGAAACAACAAAGCAAAATGCCTCAAAGTTTCTGAGAGAGGGGAAGGGGTCCCAGATCAAACTGCTGTTCTATGGCAATAGCTCATAAGATAGGTGCCATTGTCACAGTTCCAGGGAGCAGGAATCAGCAGGGTTGCCAGCCTCTGAAGCTCCCCTGCACCCCTGTCTTTCCCTGCCTCTCTTCCCTGTGAAAGAACTCCTCCAACCTGTGCCACCCCCCACCCCAAGCCTTGCTTTTCTTCATTCTCTTAGTTAGAAGAACATGGAACATGGGGCCAGGATGCTTTGCAAGTATTTACCTGCTTTCTCTAAGGGTTTTAACACCAGGCGACTTCCTACCTGTTTAGTCTTAAAATGGTTATCATCATCATCATCATCATCATCATCATCATCATTGCTTTTAGAAGCAGAGACGGGGTTTCTTCTCCACTACCCCTGGTGAGTTGCTGGCAGGTCTGACACTGCAGACAGTACTGGGGCAGGCGGTGCTTACTGGGGACAGGAGGGCTCAAAGCTGGCAGAAGTTCCTGCCCATTTCCAGAGCCTGATTCTCTTGTAGATGTTAGATGTGTAATGTAAGGTGTGTCTAGAACACAGGGCAATGTCAAGAGCCAGCTGGGAGAGCCACCACAAACAGCCAGAGATTGTCCACCCGTGGGGGACATTCCAGTCATCAACCAGCTCCTTCCTACTCCCTCCTCCCCCAAAGCTCTACTTGGTGCTTCTAGGGTTGTCCAGAGCTCTCAGGGAAAGCTTCGGCTCTAACTTCTCTTCGAAGCATGGGCCACACTGGCCCAGAGCCGTCTGTGCCTCCTCCTCCCTCAGGGCACAGCCTCATCTCATAGTAGCTTCCTGGCAACTGGTTGATGGTCATAACTTGTTTCCCCTCCTTGAATCCATTTTCCTGGGCTAAAATGAAGTAAACTCTCATTCTGTTTAGTGTGCTGTCACTCAGGTGGCCGTTCCCACCTGTGGGAGATTTGCCCGGTGTGTGGCCTTCAGAGACTTACCACTCCTTGTTTCCCTATTGCACCACTACTCTGCCACTGACCCCACTCCTGCCCCTGGGCACAAAATCCTCCAGGGCCCCAGAAGCCTGCCAGGAACCAGAACCAGTGACCTGCTCGCTAATGATACCCTCAGCTGACCACAGGGAAGCTTTTACAAAAGTGAACTTATTCTCCACGAGTCCATCTAGGGAGAGGCCTGACCTTTTTAGTTACATTAGCCGTTAGCTTTGGAGGTCTGGACCTTGCAGGCCTGGGCAATGCTGGAAGGGTAACCAATTCCCCTCTAGAGGCTCTAATTAGCTTTGCCACGGTCTAGCTTCTGGGAACTGACCACATTGGGTATTTCTCTCTGAAAGTAAGAGATTACGAACAGGGGAAGTGAGTGAGACTCGGAAACTGGAGGGAACTTTCAATCCCCTTTGCAGTGGCAGGGACTCTTACCTCAGTACCAGTAGATACTCAGGCCTAAACCCTTGTAGCATTAACTTGGCGCAATTAAGGGCAGAGCCAACTCCTCTGCCTCCCTGGGGGAGGATGTATCAACAGGAGGTAGTGGGCTCCCTGCAGATCCTTTCTATGAGGGACAGAGCAGTCACCCCAGGGGCTAGAGAGAGTAAAGAATGTGGAGATCAGGCGACCCAGAGGCCAGGAGGGTAAAGGGTAGACAAAAGACCAAGTAACTAAATGGTTGGATTACACAGGGAAGGGCAGCTGGGGTAAGCGCAGCCCAGCCCCTGGACTGAAAGTTAGGGTAGGGGTGGGGCATGCCAGCCATACCCTGTAGGGACTTTGGGATGCTGGGAGAACCTGGCAGCCAGGTCCACTTTGATATGTTAAATAGGCACCTCAGTTAGCCTTAAGTTTGAAACCTAACAATTTGCCCACTTCCTCTGGCTGAAAGTGATGGAGGACCAATCAGGACGAACTTTGGCTTGACATGTCAGTCAGTGCTACAGGGATGATGTGCAGGCTTGAGAGCACCTGCCCATCTGATAGGCTCAGAACTGGTCTGGTTCAGGAAGTCTTTGTCAAACTGTGTCACCTACATCAAAATCTGAGATTCTGTGCCCAGGAAATAAAGCAAGTAAGAGGCAGGAAGACAAAATAAGAATGAGAATCCAAGAATAAGGAAATGTTGCTGTTTAAAACCTTTATTACTCTTGATTGAGGCAGGAAGAGGCTTAAAGAATCTTCCAGTCAGGAAGAACATTTTCCTACTGTGCAGCATGAAGCTTGGGGTTCTCCATGCTCAGCACCCCAGGGGCAGAGGTAAGAGTCTCCAGTCACAGAGAGAACATAATGGCTGTGCTGTCTTCCTGTGCGTGGCCTGCTGTGGAATAAGCCTTCTGTGCACTGTGACTATGTGTTACTCTCAAGGGTTAATAAAAAGCAGACAGGCTGGCCGGGCAGCACTCGGGAGGCAGGCGAATCTCTGTGAGTTCGAGACCAGCCTGGACTACCAAGTGAGTTCCAGGACAGCCTCCAAAGCCACAGAGAAACCCTGTCTTGAAAAACCAAAAAAAAAAAAAAAAAAAAAAAAAGCGGACAGGCGGGTAGCCTGTTAAGAGAAGCTTTATCTTTGCTAGCCGCTTTGGTTTATCACCCGCCAGCCACCTGGGCTCTGCCGCGTTGTAGTCCCCAAATAAACACACAAGACGCTATATTAATTATGAAGCTGTTGGCCTTGCTTGTTTCTTACTGGCTAGCTCTGACTAAGTAATTACCCCATAATTGTTAATCTAAGTATTTCTCTTACCGGAGAATGGTTCCGGGTTTCCTACCCCCATGGCATTACATCTTGACTCTCCTGTGTTTCTCCTTCCCAGAATCCTCCTGGATTCCTAGCCCCACCTATCTAGATTCCTATTGGCCAGACAGTGCTTTATTGGCATATACACGGACTTCCCCAACAGTAGCCAGGTGGGAAATATAGACAGACAGCCAAAAACAGAGGACTCTGGGCAGAAGAAGGTAGAGTCAGAGGAGATGCCAGCTAGCTGCTGAGGAAGCAGGGCATGTAGAAAATGAGGTAGCATGCCATGAGTCATGTGGTAAGCATAGATTTAAAACAATGGTAATTTAAGTGTAAGAGTTAGCTAGTAATGAGCCTGAGCTATCAGCCGAATATTTGTAATTAAGCCTCTGAGTTGATTATTTTGGAGCAGGTGGTCAGAATAAGAAAACATCTGCCTACATATGGTATTCCAACATGTGGCTAAAATTTTTATATGAAACCTGACAAAGTTTAAAAAAGGATTCTAGACACACAACAACAGAATCAAACATGACTTCTTGGTAGCTGCATTTTCTTGGGTGGGCTGTTTACTGGCAGTGAGCAGAGGCACAACTGCTTTAAGAGGGAGCTTCCTGACTCAGTACTTGTGGCAAAAACGGGTGGCTCTTTTAAGAAGCCCTGCTACCAAACACATGGAGTTTATGAGCAGCAGGTGGCATACTGCTTGGTGACAGAATGAACTCAGAAACTTCCCAGAGTTGGGGTGGTAAACATTGCTCCCAGAGCTGACAGAAGTCTAGCCTCCCAGGGAAACAAAGGGGAGGAGCCAACCACCTACATGCCATGATTTAAGTTACACAGCAGTATTTTTTTGTGTGTGTGTAATTTTTTTTGCTCATACAGACAAAAAAGGTACAGTTACACAGCAAGGACAGACTCAGACAAAAAGAGCCTCTAAATGGGCCACAGTATGTTTAAAAACTGTACATAGACTTGGGAAAGAGAAGAAAAAGGGCATATACAGTCTTAGATTTTAAAACATAGTTTTAACATAATAAAGTCCTTAAAAAGCAATAGAGTAATAAAAATATAAACCACATAAAGACGGAAAATACAAAGAGAGTCTGGATACTGTATGCTATGGTGTATGTTTTAGTTGCTAGGATACACTGGATTGTGAGAACTGCTAGATTAAACCAAACTATATTTTTAAAAAAATCTTGATTTTAAAATTTAAGTCAAAAGATATGTTACTTTGAGGGAGAGGTTATGCTTTTGTTTCCACAGAAAATGAGAGGCTATGGATTCATTCTGGGTTAAGGAAAATCAGGTTTCATTGAGGGGAAGACTCTTGGAATCTGACTACAGCCAAAACCAAAAACCAAAAACCAAAAAACCACCAAACCTAAAAGAACTACAAGACACATGATGTATATTTTACCTGCTCAAACACAGAACAAAAAAGTCTAACTGACTTGTATACACAATCTATATGTGTGCTAATGCAGATTGTGTATGTTACCTTAAAAGTTTATATAGTTTCACAGCAAGGAGACCAGACACCAATGAAAACAATGGCCCAGATGATCCAACATCCAGAACAGCTTCCAGGCTGCTGGCTGAGGTGGTTCAGCCTCATAGAATACTACAGCCAAGACTTAACCATTATCCTGATTTTCTCAAATCCAATCAACAGGAAATAATCTAAAAAAGTATGCCCACACTCCCCAAAATGAGTTATAGATATTTATTATCATTTGGGGGGGTTGGTTATAAGTTGTTATTGGTAATTGTCAGGAAAAAAGCTAAACAAAGGATTCAGGGATCCCATTCTGAAAAG